CGGACAGGCCAGCGCATCGCGAAGCTCCACGTTCCCTCCTGGCTAAACACGGGTGTTTCTCTCCCTCAGGGTGGCAAATTCCATCCGAAGAGTGTTCATCGCAGAAGTCCCTATCATAGGTACTGCCTTACGCTTCCCTGGGGCCACGGTGCCCTGGGCCACCAGCCCTGTTGCTCTCCCCGCTTCCCCTCCATCTTCAAGCTGCCTTCAGCTCACCCATTTAGCCACTACTGTGTATTACCAGATGCTGTCTCAGCTTCACCGTAACGTTTTCTGTGCCCTCACAAATCGCTCGGCTTTTCTCCACAGAAATATTTCTCAGGTTGTTGACCTTTTCTTCTCTGCAGCCATCGACTGGGTCCAGATAGATGCCAACTCCTCTGTGCTCCATGATGAATTCATTGCGCACAGGCTGGGTGAGTGCCAGGCATGGCAGGGAAGATGATGTGCAGCAAGGCAGAGGTTGCAGGCGAAATCAGTCTGGAGATGCTGAAGCACCTTTTTCAGGAGGCTTCTGTCCCTCTGCCTGTCTCAGCAGGAGGGTTGGTGCTCCCATGGTCTCACTCGGGTGATTCTCTGATTTCCTACTTTCCACAGGTCTCATCCCGCTCACCAGCGATGACATTGTGGATAAGATGCAATATTCCAGAGTGAGTCAAGCAAAATGTTGTGGGTGATTATTTTGGTGGTGGTGGGTGTCTGCTATGATGGGAAACACTAATTCCTTGCTGGGAGAGGTTTGGCATAAAGGTCTTGACCTGTGTCTGTCCCAGGACTGCACATGTGATGAGTTCTGTCCAGAGTGCTCTGTGGAGTTCACCCTAGACGTCCGGTGCAATGAAGACCAGACTCGTCACGTCACATCCCGCGATCTCATCTCCAACAACCCCCGGGTCATACCGGTCAGTGCGATGCCTCTGCTAGTTGCAAGTCCCCGCTCTACATTCCTATTGAGGCCAGGTTGGCGAACACAGGGGGTGGGGACAAAACAAGGCCTCTGAGCACATTTCACGTCGCCTAAAGCCCCGCTTAAAACTGGTGGGAGAGCAAAGCAGGAATATCTGCAGAAACAGCAGTGTGTGCCAGTGCCTGCCTCTTTGCCTTGTTGTCCTCCATTTGCTGCCTGATGGCTTGTCAAAGCAGCATGGCCTTGTTAAAGCCTCATCCTGCACCCCTCATCTCAAACCCTTGGGAGGCTTTAGTGTAGCCCCTCCATCTTGCTTTGAATGCACAAAGTGTGTGCGCTTGTGTCTTGCTGCCATGTCGCTGCCTGCCCGCTTGCTGCCAGGGCTTGGGCAAGGTCAGCCTGTTCGAAGGCTTGGCAGAAACCCCGAGGCCTTTGGTTTTCTGGTTCTTGGCTCTCAGTGTGGCAAAGTGTGAGGAGCCTGGGCCAGGGACTGCCAAATGGCTCTTGCCCAATTGCCTTGGGAAGGGTTGACAGAGCCAAAGCAGAACAGATGTAGAGGGACTTAGTAGAGAATGGTTTTAAAATGCTGTTGAGGCCACATCCAGATGTCACCACAACCTGCAGGCTGCTTCTGGTGGCTGGTGGTAGTGTCTGCCTGGTTAAAGCCTCGCTTGTAGCCCAGTGTCTCTTGCTTGCTTTGGCTGAGGTGCTGTGAATGCTGTGTGTCACCTGCCATCAGTCGTGGGAGTGACTTTGGGCTGTGTCACAGCCACACAGCAGCGCTGGGCTGGGCTGAAGCACTCGCCATCCTGTGGGGAGAGCAGCTCAGGAGACGAGCAGGCTGCTGGAGTGGGATGTCGTGTACCTCGCTACAATGGCCTGTGTTGTCCCAGTTTCCGTGAAGTAGGGTGGGCTGCATTTGTTGCTTCAAGTCACTCTAGAGTGGCTTTCTGCAGTCTCTAATTTTTGTAGGCAGCTGCTATTTGATGTGGGGAGTAAAGTGGATCTTGCCATTAATTTAGTTGCTTTTGTTCTTCTGCAGGTAACATCTCGGAGCAGAGACAACGATCCCAATGACTATGTGGAGCAGGATGGTAAGTGGTGTTTCACTGGGAATAAGAGCTGGAGGAGGAAATTAATTTTTCTTTCAGGCTCTTTGAACTCATTCTTCCTTTCCTAGCTGTGTAACTGTAAGGCAGCTGTAAAGCTGGCAGTTGAGAGACACCGGCATCGCTGCATCAGGGGTTAGCCTTAATGCCACTTAAAGATTATCCCCAGGAGTAAAGTCCTGTCAGAGGGTACTTCTCTCTCTGCTTATGAGAGCTTAGAGACAGCAATGATGCAAAATGCTGTAGTGTCTGCTGCTGCCTGGGGGCCTGAGCTGTGCCTTTGGGCATACGTGCAACTCTCTTTTACTTAGCAAGATGTTCTCCAGCTACTCTGGGGACACAGATGAGCCCCTCTAAGAATCCAAGCGAGCCCTGGCTTCTGATGATATTTTTCTGGGCCCTAAAAATTCCTGCTTTTGCCAGTGTGAGATCTGCATGCTCGTTTCTCCTCTGCAGCCTTCTCAAACAGGCATGTGCTTTTCCGCAGACATCCTCATTGTGAAGCTGCGAAAGGGCCAGGAGCTGAGACTGCGAGCCTATGCCAAGAAGGGCTTTGGCAAGGAGCACGCCAAATGGAACCCCACGGCAGGCGTAGCCTTCGAATACGACCCGGACAATGCGCTGAGGCACACCGTGTACCCCAAACCAGAGGAGTGGTAAGTCCTCATGTCTGGAGGGACTGGAAAAGATTTTCCAAAAGGCACCTATGCTTCAACCCTGGGGATAATTTGGGTCAGTAAGTGAGCGTGAGCATGCCAGTCGCTTCCCCCTGCACAGACTTTGCTCCTGTGTTAAGGTACCAAGGCCAGTCACTTGATTGTAGCTGTGTGCAAGGTGGACTGGCTTGTGGCCGCCTCTTGTCCTTCCCTCACACAGTGTCACAGCTGTTTTACCTCGCTCACTTCCGTGTTCTTTCCCGCCATGTGTGGCTGTTTTTTCTTCCCTGCAGAAGTGGTATGTAGGTCAGGGTAAGGTCTGAGGAAGGAATAGGTCCATGCGAGGTGAAGAGATTGCTACGAGAGCGAAGAGCAGAAGGTTAGGTTGCAAGGCTGATTTTGCAGCCCTCTTTGTTTGAGGGAGCTCAGTGTGTGGCTCTGATTTCACCCATACATCTCCTCACTCCTGGAGCATGAGCTCTGGCAGCAGGGTTTTCCTCTCTGGCCCTTTCCTCTGCTCTGACATGTGCTGCACTGGTAGCATGCTGCATCTCATCTAAAAGTGACATGGTTTTGCTTTTGGAAAGCTGCTGCCCTGCTTTGGCCAGGGTGAGGACTTCACCTAGCAGCACTTCTTCATGAGTAGCTACCTGAGCTGGTGAGTGGATGTGCTGCCGTAACAGCAGGGCAGCAGCCAGAGCTGCGCTCAAGGTCAGGAAGACCTCGGTACAGGGATAGGATATGGTGCAGGGACCGCAGAAGCCAGGGCTGAGTGAGCCGGAACAAAAGCCTGTGCAGAGCTGCAGCTGGAGACAAGGCTGGGTGGCAGCAGGGGCTCATCGGGTTTTCCTCCTGTCGCAGCCAGGCCCCACGCTGCCAGATTTGGCTCTGCAAATGGTGGCAAGCAGTAGCAGGCAGGTAGTGGGCTGTTGTGCCTCCACACTGTCCGCTGCAAGTCTGGGCACTCTGATTCATTGCAGAGCATGGCCTTATGCTGTCCCGTACTATGTTAGCTGTCAGTAAACGTGCTTCCCAGGGGTGCAGTTAGCCTAGAATTCACACCTCAGCCCGACTGCCAGGGGCTTTCTCTCAGGAGCTGTCACGGAGATCCTGTGCAGCTAGGTTTGCACTCGGAAGGCTAGAGAAGCCTTTTGTCACCAAGGGTGGAGAAGTGAGTGAATCCAGAACATGCATGAAATGGGGTGGGATCTGCCCGCAGCCGTCCCAGCCCTGTTTTACAGATGGAAGGAGCGAACTCCTGTTGGCTTTGATGGGCTCTGTAAGGTGTGTTTGTGGGTCCGGTTCAGTCAGTCTGGGTGAGAACGGGATGTGCCAGGCGTTTGGGTCCTTCAGGACTTCGTCAGGGCAGTGCTCTGGGATCTGCAGTAGGAACGAGGCTGGCTGGTAGTGCCAGAAATCTGGAATTGGGCTTTTTCCTTAGCGTTGCTGAACTGCACAGTGGAGTGCCTGACTTTGGGAACTGCCAGCTACAGACCAAGCTGTTGGGGAAAGTCTGTGAGAAGCTGGTTGTGGTGAGGTGGTGCAGAGCCAAGGAGGATGCTGCTCAGCAGTTTTGTGGTCAGGAGCATGTTAAAAGAGTTGATGTGCCAGCCTGTCCTTTGTCAGCAGCAGTTTGGGAGTGGAAGTGAATAGTTTTGAAGTTTCCAGATCATTTGCAGCAGGTGAATTGCCCCAAAATTCAGTTGCTGTCTGGGTGATAGATTGGATGCTTGAGGAGCAAGAATGTCTCTGTGATGTGGAATTTCAAATCGGGATTTGAAATCATTTTAGGCTTCATTTTGGTGCTGTAAAAATTATCTGGTTTAATTTTTGTAATGCTGGATAGTAAGTCTTTGACACTGATGAAGTGACAGACCTGGAATACTGCTTTGAGTTGGACAGCCAGATGCCAGGCAGGCTTAGGTATTGCCTTCTTTTTGGTTGAGGATTCTCACAGTGTGAATTTTGGAGAGTTTGGGCTTTTGGAGATGTTGGCGTTGTGGAGAACAGCCTCAGCTGTGTGGCTGAGCACTTGTACCTTGGCAATGAGGTGCTTCCCTGGCTGGGTGGCCCAAGGCAGCTGCAACCGGGGATTCTTTTGTTTGGTGGCAGAGTCGCCTGCATCTTCAGGAACCTGGTGTGCTATACAATAGGCTGGGTACCTGGAAACAGTTTTTGAGAAGTTCTTAACAAAATATATGTGAAAGTTGGAAAAATCCCAAAAGAAGGTGGACGTTGGAGCTGCCTGTGCCCTGATGATAAGTCTGTCTTTCCAAGGTCATCCAATTCCCTGTGTAGACAGTACAGAGACAAAGGCCTCTACTATCCAAGGCTAAGCTGTTATTTTTGGTTTGGTTTTTCATGCTTTTTGAGGCTGTTGGCAGAACCCTGGCATGCAGCTGGACTCTCAAAGCGGCTGTCGTGGTGGTGGAAACCTCTGCCCTGTTTTTTTTAGTCCTGGGTGGTTCTGCAAGTGATGTGAAGACCCAGCTCCATTATCGCTTTACCTCTCTTACTGGTTTGTTACAGACAGAGGGTTTGTTTGGGAAGTGCAGTTTTATTTAAGGCAGCTGATGACAGGGTGCTAGGATCAGCCTTTCTTGACATCGCTGAGGCGGAGGAAGGCCAGCAGGAGACCTTGATGGGCATGGGATTTTCTATGCTGGCTTCTCAGACAGCTCAAGGTTTTGGGTTTTCTTACACGGATGGAGCGCTTCCAGTCTCCCCAGTATGATGCTCTATAAGCCAAGGGACGCCGCAGGTAGAAAGACATAGTGGCCTGGCTGATGCACAGGTATTGTGATTTTGGTGGCGATGCGTGTAGAGGCGTGGAAGTGCAGGACATTGGGACGGGGCTCACTGATGCAGCTGGTGTCTGAAGTACAGGAGATTTTTTTTTTTTTTTTTCCTGCTGGACACAACCCAGCTGGGCCTCCGCCTCTCAGCTGTGCTGCACAAACCGAGTGCTGGAGTGCTCCCGTGTTTTCCTGGCCTGGTGAAAAGCAGAAAAAAAAGGTAACATGAGGTCCATTGCTCCATAAACAGTGTCCAGGCTCCACAAACACAGTTGCTTCAGGCATCGGCATCCCTTCGCTGTACGTACCTGCCAGATTGTGCTGCTGTAGGTCGATGGAGCCGAGTTTGGGTGGAGCGGGACTGATCTCTTTCTCCAGCACTGCTGGGTGACTGTGTGTCATTAATGAGGAGTTAGAAAAGACAACACAGGACTGGGCTGTTTTTCTGTGACTTGATGTTTGATGGCTGCTCCCCTACCTGCTGGATGGGAGCCCCAGTGCTCACTCTGTGGGACCAAACAATGCCGCAGAGTGCCTGGGTGCTGTGGGGCTATGCTGGAGCGTGGGCTCTGTGCTAACCTTTCCTGCTCTTTGATTCCAGGCCCAAGAGTGAGTACTCGGAGATTGATGAGGAGGATGCTCAGGCTCCCTATGACCCCAACGGGAAGCCAGAGAGGTAGGAAGCTGAATGCGCTGCCGCAGCTGGAAAATGGGGGGACCAGCTGAGTGCATCTCATCTGCTTTCATTAATACAAGAGTATCTAGTCTGTGCTGAAGTTTGCCAGCCCAGGGAGCTGGTGTTCCCTGAAAAGCAGGGCAGAGGTTGGAGTTAAAGTGGTGATATGCTCAGGGCTGGCAGGTTTTCCCCTCTGGGAGATACTAGATGACTCTCCTGAGTTTGTGGTATCAAGTGGGGCAGTGCAGCACTAGGTGAAGCGTGAGGCCTCTGGGGGAAAATGGCTTAGGGTATTTATTCACCCATGTGGGTCTCTCGTGCTCGGATTGCTCGTGATACCCCCTCTCCCAGGTTATTTGCACTGCAGCCAAGCCAACCTTACTCCCTGTCGCGGAGCTCTGTGCTGGTTCGGGGATCATGGTGCTGAACAGAAAAAAATTCCAGAAGTGCTCTTGCAGCCTGTGGAGTCACGAGTGTTGGTGTGATGGTCTTAGACGGGTAGTGCTGGCTGTTTCCTGGTTGGGAGGTGAATGATGCTGATGGTTGTGTTTTCCAGCAGAGCTCCCTGCGATGGGTCAGGACGGGCTGGAACTGCTCTGTGGATGCTCTCTGGTTTTGCACCTCCTCACAAGGCAGGTGGTGACTTAACCCTCTGACTTGTAACCTCAGGTTTTATTACAACGTGGAGTCCTGTGGTTCTCTGCGCCCAGAGACCATCGTTCTCTCTGCACTCTCCGGCCTGAAGAAGAAGCTGAGTGACCTCCAGACCCAGCTGAGCCACGAGATTCAGAGCGATGTCCTCACTATAAACTGAGGTGCCCCCTTGCAAGCGGGTGCTGACGTGTGAGTGATGCAGAAAGTCCTTGCCTCTGTCCAGCAGCGCTCTGGGCTGAGGGTTTTACCTCCCCATCTCCCTCTATCTTTCCTGGCCCAGCTCTGCTGGTTGGTGACACCTCTTCCCTGGCCCTCCTTCTCATGAAAAGCCATCGTGGTGTGTAGGGTAAAGCAGGAAGGGAATCAATGAGCACCTTTGCTGGGACAGGCTTTGTCTTTAAGCGATCCCTGAGCTTTAGGCCAGAGGTTTGGATTCTGGCCATGTGGCATTTGGGATTGGGAAGCGTGTACCTCAGTTACACAACCCTACCTTATTTGCATGTTTCTCCCTTACTGTGCTGAATAAAGCCTTACCCCTCTGTGTTCTGTCATCCCTGAAACCTCATCTGGGGCCACAGGAAGAGATGTCACATCATTTACTTCTCTTCAATAGACATTAACTTAATGAGATGTTTGGAGGGAGCATAGCTCTCTACCCTTGATTACTGCTCTTGACGTTATCTCCTAAGGAGACCAGAATCCTCTCCAGCAGGTAGCCTGTCATTTACCAACCCAGCACTGCGTTGAAAGCAGATGTTTGAGGCTGGGCTGGTAGGTGAGATGCTGCAGAAGGCAGTGCTGCAGAAGAGCCCAGATGGGCCAGGCAGGCTTAGCTGTATTTAAAAACTCCTTCAGAGCAGACTCTGCCTGTGCTCTGTATCATCTCTGTGTTAGGAGCTGGGATGGCGGGGAGTCTGCCGTTAATAACCCCTGGCTGACAGCTTCCAGTGTGCATACAGCCCCAGGGTGGGTTGTGTGCTGGGCTGGAGCTTGGTGCGGGGTCCCAACCTGTGACCACTGTGGCAGTGGTTGGTCACCCTTTCTCCTCCCCTGCATCAGTGCCCAGCAGGACTTGGGCTGAGCTTCTTGGTGACGCTTTCCTGGAGAGATCCGCATCTTCCTTCCCGTGGTGGCTGAGACAGAGGGGAAGGCATGTGTGCCACTGTGCTTGTCCCAGCGTGGACGTGGGGCATGGGAACGGCTCCAGGGTGCTGGGACAGGTGCTCATGCTGAGCCAGGGAGAGCTCCGAGTCGTGCTGCCTTCCCCTCCAGGGGAGAGCGGCTGCAGCAAAAAATGCCATGGCAGGCCTCCCCAAGACCTGTCCCCGTCCCTGGAGGGAGCGCTGCCCCGGCTGGCATGGCTGTCTCGCCTTGGGGTGAGCGCTCAGCCAGACAGTCATGGCACTGATAACCGAGCTGGCACAATTCTGGGAGAGCTGGAAGACGGAGCAGCCTGAACCTCCTTTGCCCGGGGTCTGGGAGCCTCCACTGCCCTGGCATGTCCCCAGAGCTGGAGGTGAGGGGTGACTGTGGGGTGCTGGCATCCTGTTGCACTTGGGGTTGTTTGATGGAGGGTGCCAGCTTGCTCCACCCTTTGCTCCCTGGCGGTTTTAGGGCTTCGCTTGAAATGTCCTGGCTGTGGCTGGAGGCAGAACAAAGCTTTGAGCCAAGGATGCTGCCAGGAGCCTGAGGAAATCTCCCCCCATCAGCAGTTTTCTCTCTGGCAGGCGCTACTCCCACTTGTGCTTCCCAAGTGCATTTGGATGAAACAGACAAACAAGAAGGGTGGATAAGGGTTGTTTATTCATTGAGCATCTCCTTAAAAAAAAAAAAAAGAAAACCGAAACATTTTTGGTAATAAATGTTAAACCTTTTTCCAGATGAGGTGTGTAGCCAGGAAAAGAGAGCAAGTTACACCTCTGCCCTGGGCGAGGACGTGGTGCTGGGGTGCCAATGAGCCCCTCTGCACCTGACTGTGCTGCAGGGGGCAGGGAGCAGCCCTTCTCCATCCCACCCTCCCCCCAGCCTCAGCCACAAGCTACACCAACCCAAGACACAGTATTTACAGACCACAGGTTCCCACATCACAACACTCCCTGTCCCCAAAGCACAGACCTGGAGCTTTAAGGGTGGAAATAAAACCACTGACCCCCCAACCCAGACCAAAAGAAGACTCCAAAGAAACACCAAGGTTTGCACAGCAATAAAAAGATAGCCCTTCTAAAGGAGGTCAATAAATAGGTGAACTAGAAAAAATCAATTGCTTTCGAGTTCAGCACATGAAGCCCAGCTGCACCCCCAGGTGAGGGCCTTCACCCCCAGGTGAGGGCTTTCACCCAGCCGCACCGACGGTGAGGAGGGAGTGAGGACAATGGGAATGGGGGTGCACGGAGAAACACGGCTCTCCCCCCATCGACTTCTCTGCCCAGGGGCTTTTTATATCTGCAAAGCTGCCCCTTGAGTGACAGGTGCTACTGGCCAAAACCAGTCTCTGGGTTGCCCACGAGCAGATAAACAAAGGGCATGGCCA